CAAACAAAATGCATAGAATGCTGATAAAAACAGCTATTTATTAACAATTACTTATTATGGCTAGTTTTCCTAATATGGTATTGATTTACTGTGAAAGGCTCTTAGGTGTGATAAAATGATAACTATTCACATAGTAATGGTGATTACTAAGAAAGATAATGGCATTCTTATTTACAAAATAACTGACATTGTGGTCTTTCTCTCTCTCTTCATCTCTCCCTCTTTTCTTAATAGGATTTAAGTGGAAAGCAAGATTCAGTGCTTTGAAATCCTAGAGAGATGTATTTTTACACCTTCTCTGCACCTCTTGTCAGTGTAAAATAATGTGAATCAAATTTCATAAGGAGACAACCGTTGGTATAGGTCTTCTGAAAAATAATTTACAACTCAGTATAATCCACCAGACTTGAACACTGCAGTAGGCACTTGAATTTTGAATTGTCACCAAGATTACTGACAGTTGGAAAAAATATAAATTTACAACAGACAGTCAAAAACAATACTGGCAAAAATAAAAAGTGTGGGGGATTGTGTTTTATTCAGTTTCCTTCAGAAAAAATTATTCATACATGGATTCCATCTTTTTCTTCCTATCTTAAAATTGGATGCATTTTCTCAAGCCCTTAAATGTGTTGTTATTCAGACTTCAAAATGCAATAACATTATACCAAAAAAAGGCTTTTTTAAAAAAACATGAAAGCACACTTAATATTTACAATGCAGTAACTGCAAAAAGAGAGAGAATTCTCTCTTCCATTCTTTAACATATACTCAAATGATGTATTATGCATTATGGAAAATGGCAGTTTTGTGTACATTTTAATCAGTCCTATATCTCCATCTCTGTGCTATAGAGGTTGCTCATGTTCTAAGAATCATATAAGAAGATGCACTTGAAGGGGGAAAAAAGACTCTAAACATCTCCCACTCTCGGCAATTTCATGAATAAATAGGACTATATTAAACATTATCAGAATTATTTTCATGTGGGGAGAGAGAGACAGAGAAACAGAGAGACAGAGAGAGAGAGATGCATATTAGCTATAACTATTGCATTAAACAGAGGGAATTTTATTTTTAAAGCACCCACATTACTGTGATTTTATTCCATTGAGATTTCTGGTATTGATGCATAGCTTAGCCTCTCAGAAAGTTTCAATTAGAATGGTTTCATTAAATATGTGCAGGCCATTAAGCTGTTCATTTTTGCATTGAAATCATTAATGTCTTAAATGTAGCAAGAAAAATGCTTGGCAAATAGTGATAGTTATAGATGTAAATCTACAATAAATAGAGAATTTTCTACTTCTTAGATGAAAGATAACACTAGTTATTTCGGCATCTATCTACCTTGATATCTATGTATATATGTAAATATATATCATATCATATCATTATAACACATCATATTATTATATTATATTATTATATTATATATTATTATTTTATATTATATTATATTAAAGAATTATTGGAAATGAGTTATATAAATAATTTAAATTATATAAAATGTATTACATATCCTGTGAAGCTTCCATCTAAAAATAATCTAGTTTCAGTGAACCTAAAAACATTTCAGGCTCTAAAATGTGGAGGAGGTATATCAATTTATTCATTCTGAAATATTAGTATAGTAACAGAGTACAATTTGCTCAAGTACTTCCAAAGTTCTTCATAAATCCTGAAGCCAACCTATTTTTTTTCCCCAAAAAAACTTAGCTTGGCATTCAAAGTTACCATGGCTAGATTTATATAGTGGATTAGTGGTTTCAGAAATTCCAGAAAATGTAGAATCTATTCTTCCTGAATTCATTAGCATCAGAAGGCATGTAAATAGTATTTGCATAATTTCTGGAATTTGGAAATTAGGATGGTAGGAAATATGTCCCAAACTACCTATGTCCTGATAACATTGTATACTTAATATGAAGTTAAGCCCTTGTTTCTTTTTTTAAACTTTTACTGATTATTGGCATGCTAGGAAGGGTTAGTCCTTAATAAATATGTTTCCACTAAATTAATGGCATTTACCCCCAGGAATTCTAATCACAAGATGAGGTGACGATAATTTTCATTTTATTCTTTTTGGAGGAAAAGCAAACAGAAATCTCCTTGCACATTGCAATTCTAGTAGAGATCGCAAGACATGCAAAAGGATACATAATCAATTAATCATTTTTTTTTTTTTTAAAAAGAGAGATGAGGCTATATATAATACAGTCATAATCTATCTTTAGTGTAAAGGCCAATGTGAGACAAATTTTAAAAATGTATGTTGCAATACAAACTTTCTCACATTCTGGTGATAGGGAAGTTCACTGAGGATTGACTGTGGCACAAATCCGAAAGTTCAGAAGACTAACCTCTGGTCCTGGTGACCGATCCACATTGGATCCTGCAAATTTTGTATCTTACACATTTTATGTGATATTGTAAGGCAAGCATAAAAGGGTAGGATTTGGTTTGTAACATTATTGTGTACATTCTGGGTATAAGTATGGTTAGAAATGGCTGCCTGCTGCTCATAGACCTGGATATTCCAATGGCTTGGAATGCTGATGTGTCACCAAGTATGATACACGTTCACCCAAAAATCACTGAGAAACAACTTGAAATTGTTTCATAGGTTACTTAGGTACCATGTTTGGGTTTCTTCAGAGCTTTCATAGATAACTGGTTTTTCCGTGCCATCCATAGGCTGGAATAATACATATATATTCAACAAGCAGATGTTGAATTGGTTTTTTTTTTTTCAGGAAAGCTCTTTCCATTATTATCAGCAGTTTGAAGACATGCCTAAGAAATATAAAGTTATGATGCATGCATAACCTACATTATCAGTAATTAAAACAGTTATTAAAGACAAACAATTTACAATACAGTTAATTAAGTAAGGTCATGTACTGCCTCGGGACTTTGCTATTAACTAATAGCCCCTCAAAGTCTTACCAAGGCTCATGAATGAAACAGTCAACTGAGTTCCCAATATAAATATACCAGCAATCAAAATGAGATTAATGAAAGTAATCTACAACATACATTGCTTAGGTTTTACATCACTGTCAACTGAGATGCCTCTCTGCATTTGGTTGAGTGCACTTCACCTCCAATGCTTTGGGGCACTCTGAATTTGCAGCACAAAACACTAGCTAGAAAGGGGCCTGATGTCTTGTTTGTGGACATATCCATCACATGTTTGTGGAAAGGTCATCTATACTTGTAAAAAGAAAAGTCCTGTCTAACTTCACAAAAGGACATACATTATTCATTATTTTAGGCTTCAAAGATGTGATGCTCTGTGCACATTCATCATGATCTCAAAAGTGGGTTTCTCCTTCAGAACAGAATACTAAATGTTTACTTTTAAATATCTTAATTTTCCCCACACTCTCAGAAAATCCATAATATTTGAAAGAACATTCACTTATCCTTGCTCACATGTTTAAGTGTCTCATCTGGATGCACAATCTGTCCATGAGAAAAGTTCTAAGGATTTATACTAATAAACAAGCTATATACTTTCACTGGAGGATTCTTTCTGAAATGAAGAGAAAGGCTATTATTGGCATCAATCTCATTTTTACAAAGCTATCTCATTTTTATAAAACAATTGCTTATAATATAAACTGACCTGTGATGAAAACCTCATTTACATTTATTTTAGAAGAAAATTTCAGACACAGGTTCAAAAATAGATTTATGCCAGCACATTGAAAAATAAACAATTATACAAATATTTGTTTAATTCATTTTCGTTGGATGAAAGGTTGAGTTTGGAATGATAGAACATGTAAAGCAAGAGTGGATAAGCATCTGAAAGAACGAATAAAAATAAAAGGGTGATAGTGGCTATGATCATGTGATCAAAGCCCCACCCCTTTCTTATATTGCATGTGCATCAGTGGTGGGTTTCAAAAAAATTTACTACCGATTCTGTGGGTGTGGCTTGGTGGGCATGGCATGGCTTAGTGGGCGTGGCTTGGTGGACATGGCAGGGGAAGGATACTGTAAAATCTCCATTCCCACCCCACTCCAGGGGACGGTTATTGCAAAATTCCCATATCCTCCCGATCAGCTGGAATTTGGTAGGCAGAGAATAGATGGGTGTGGGGCCAGTCCGAACTACTAAAAATTTCCACTACCGGTTCTCCAGATCTGGTCAGAACCTGCTGAAATCCACCTATGATGTGCATATAGAAAAGGGTCAGGGATTCTGTGCTACAGTCATCACCATGACTTTTATTGCTCTTTCCTATTCCATGGACAATCCACATCACTTATCATGACAGTTTGTAATCCTAAAGTCACATCAGTCTGCCCCATGCTTAGATCTTCGAAGGGTTTTCATTGTATATATAATATATATAATTAATATAATTATTAGATCATTTCATTTCATTATTTTCTTCTGATGAAAAGTTGAGTTGTTGGGAAATGTTGCCTTTGCTCAGGTAAGAAAGATGAAACCACATCCTTAAATTCTTGGCTTATTACTGTAACACTTTGGACATAATCACTTGCACATTGGTGCAGTGATTAGTGTACAGTAATGCAGGCTACTTTTGCTGATCACCGGCTGCCAGCAATTTGGCAGATCGAATCTCACCAGGCTCAAGGTTGACTCAGCCTTCCATCCTTCTGAGGTGGGTAAAATGAGGACCCAGATTGTTGGGGGCAATATGCTGACTCTGTAAACCACTTAGAGAGGGCTGTAAAAGCACTATGAAGCAGTATATAAGTCTAAATGCTATTGCCTGACAAATTAAAATTAAAATGAAAGGGGTGCCTATGTACAGGGTATAGAGCAATATATATTCAGATAAGTGAGTCACCTTTACAAGTTACCCCAATTGTTTTGAGTTTGTATAACGAGTTCTTAACTGAGCAGCCCTGATTATAAATTTGATAGTTCTGCTAATTATGTGTTAGTACAGAGTGAACTTAAATGAGGTGGACGTATCAATGGAATATAAATAGAATAATTCATATTTCTTTTGCAGTACCCAAAGTCCAATTTAAGGAACCTCTCTACATTGTGAATGAAAAAGATGGTCAGCTGGAAGCTATAATTTCATGAAGTGGAGATGTTAATCATAAATTACTGTCCGCTGCTACACTCGCCAAGGCTCTGCCCAGGTTATGATGGACTATGAGGAGAGACCAAACACAGATGACTCAATAATAACATTCCTACCAGGTAAGATCTCCTTTTAAGTAAAAAAAGGTGTATGTTCAAATTATCATAGTGTCTGCGCTCAGATTTTTAAGAGGCTTAGGAACAAATTCCTAATTTTAACCTCCTCTCAGTTATCTTATTTCATACCATTACACACAATATTAGTGATTTTATTTCAACATTTGGTCCTGGTTAATGCGAAGAGCTAGAATTTTAATTTACTTTCATGATAACAAAATAATTTTTGAATTTTTAGTGGGGAACTAAAGGATGCAATTGTGAGGTTGTGCCTTCATTCATGGTAATTTACAGTCATAGAGCATCGGCAGTGGGGGGCAGAATATTCAGTTCTATCTCCCTCTTTCTCTCCACAGCCCACAAACAAGTAAGAAAGAAGACCTTGGAACAATCTTAGCATTTTTTTAAATTGTTTTTTCTAAGATATATTATTGTTTGTTATAATGTATTTCAATGGTGAAATCCAATTTTTTTAATACCCGTTCTGTAGGTGTGACTTGGTGGGCATGGTGTGGCTTGGTGGGCGTGGCTTGGTGGGCATGGCAGGGGAAGGATACTGCAAAATCCCCATTCCCTCCCCACTTCTGGGGGAAGGATATTGCAAAATCTCCATTTCCACTCCACTCTGGGGCCAGCCAGAGGTGGTATTTGCGAGTTCTCCAAACTACTCAAAATTCTGCTGTCAGTTCTCCAGAACCTGTTAGAACCTGCTGGATTTCACCCCGATGTATTTGTTTTTGTTTCAACATTAATTATTAATTTAAACCATACATATGAATAGTTGTATAATATTAAAATGTAAATCTGATTTTTGTTTCTAAAAGTAGTTTTTTTAAAAGAACATTCCAAAGCAATGTAAATACTGTACATTGTACTTTTCCACAAATGTTTCTTTATCATACTTTTTCAGATAGGCCAAATGGCTAAGAAGCTACTTATTTCAATATGCGTGTACAAATTAATCTAGCAGAGTTTATTTGCAGATTTAGCAGAGTGGAGTACTGTCTTCTTCTGTTCAGTATATATGTTTCCTCCTCCTCTTTCATAGATCAGAATAAGTGATCAATATTATTTGCTTTTAATCTTACCATACAGCTTCTTAAGAAAGCAGTGGTTTAACATTGGTTTGTTTTAACAGAGCATAATCCGGAGCCAAAACTGATTTTCAAGATATAAACATTATAACACCAAAGCCTAGTTTGCTATGTAGTTGTTGTGTTATTGAAAATTGGCAAGGAAGACCCATTTTTAGATCCAGCATTAGCCATCAAGCTTTCTCAGTGACTGTGGTTTATTCATAGTCTTTTGGCCCACACTAATTTACAGGGTGGCTGTTGAAAAATGTGAAGAAGTGCTACATACATCACCTTGAAGTTCTGTGGGGGAAAGTAGGCAAAAACAACAGCAGAAGCAATAGAAACCTAGTTTAAAATAGTCTCAGGAACTTTCAGGCTCCTCTAGGAAGGAAGGACAATTGGGAGGCTAATTCCAATTGCAGAAAACGTAACGGCTTTCTGTTTCACCTGGCTGCATTTTAGACTCTTTAGTTAAAATAAAGAAAAATGTTTCAACACATGAATGACTGCCAATTTAATATGATGATGACATATGTGAGAATAATCACAAAAATAGCATCGTAGACAAAAATCAAATACGCTCAATCAAAAGGCTTTTTTCTAAGGAAGTCTAGTAATGCATTTAGGAACCAGTGATAATCTTGCTAAGGATAAAGCCGTTTTCCCTGATCTGGGTCCCTTCCACTCTTCTTGTCAGGTCCCTCCAGAGATGTTCAATAGGGTCCAAATCAGGGCTAGAGTGATAGTGGCTAGTCCACTCTAGGACATTCATAGTGTTGTCCTGGCTGTGTGCTTAGGATCACTGTCAGATTGGAAAGTGAACTTCATTCCAGACTGAGATTCCAAGTGCTGTGGAATAGGTTTTCATTGAGTACATTCCTGTACTTTGCTCCATTCAGCTTTCCCTCAACCCTGACCAGTGCAAGTCCCTACTGCTGAAAAACATCTCCACAGCATGATGCTGCCACTACCATGCTTCACTGTTGGGATAATATTGAGCAGGTGATGAGCAGTGCCTGATTTCCTCCAGATATAACATTTAGAAGTGAGGCCAAACAGTTTAATCTTAGTTTCCTTAGACCAGAGAAACTTGTTCCTCACAGTCTGAAAGTCTTTCAGGTGCTTTTTGCAAATTGCAAGTGGGCTTTTATGCACTGAGGAGAGGCATCAATCAAGCCACTTTACCATAAAGCCCAGATCGCTGAAGGGCTACAATGATAGTTGTCCTTCTAGAACTCTGTTCCATCTCCACACAAGATGTCTGGAGCTCAGTCAGAGTGACCATCGGGTTCTTGATCACCTCTCTTACTAAAACCCTTCTTACCCAATTGCTCAGTTTTACCAGACAACCAGCTCTTGGAAGAGTCCTGATTGTATCAAACTTTTTCCATTTGAGAATTATGGAGGCCACTGTATTCTTAGGAACCTTCAGTGCAGGAGAAATTTTATTGTACCCTTTCCAAGATCTGTGCCTTGCAATAATCCTGTCTTTGAGCTCTGCAGGCAGTTTATTTGACCTCATGGCTTTTGCTCTGCTACAATGTGTGTTGTCAGCTATGAGGGCTTCTATAGAAAGGTGTGTACCTTTACAAATCATGTCCAATCAATTTAATTTATCACAGGTCATCACCAATCATGGTGTAGAAACATGTCAGCAATTATCAAGATAAATAGGAGGCACCTGAGCTAAATTTCAAGTGTTGTTGCAAGGGGTCTGAATACTTATGCTAATGTGATAGTTCAGTCTTTTATTTTTATAAATTTACAGACATTCCTAAAATTCTGTTTTCACTTTGTCATTAGTGAGTTCTGAGTTGTAGTTTTATAAATAGAAAACTATTTTTTTTCATTTTGCTTTTATACAGACATTAGCATGCATTCACTGCTGCACTGTACCTCTATGCTAACCAACTTCTTGAGGTCAGTGTGCATGTATAACTGATCTTGGATCCAATTTGAGTGAAGACAATATTATAAACTCTTCTCTCATGAACTAGAGTTGGGCAAATGAGCACTTTTACAATTTTGGAACCATGTCTGTAAAGTTAAACATGGCTTGAAGGGAGTGTGGCACAGCTACATGCCCCACAGGAGTGAACTTGTCACTCCATGAACCAAGTTCCCAATCTGGGTTGGACTGCAAAACAACCGGTGTCATCAGATTCCTACACATATTAATTTTCAATACAATATATCCAATTGAGACAATGTGATTTCATTCAGGTATTGTCTTCATCTTCCCATACAGAGTTAAAAATGACCGAAAACCCTTTTCTATTATTTTGCATTTTTGGCTGTTAAATAAAAGATCTTCAGTATACCTAATAATTGAATGCAGTTCTTCTCCATCTCCAGACTACCCACCATGCTTGCAGTTTCACAAAACGATTGCCAAGATAGATGCAACTTATAACAGAATATCCATTTCCTGGAAAGAAAAAAAACTTTTTTTTAAGAATATGTCATCCCAATTTACCTCTTTTTTCTGGACAAGAGGGTGTACTTCCAAAGAACTATTGCCTAGTTTACTTATTTATTTTTTCAAGCATTGTTTAAAATCTAAAGATTTGATGCCAGGGACTTATGTTTGCTTTGCCACATGCCATCTTCTCTTCATTGTCATCTTAGACTGGGAGAAGACTTGTGGGTGCAAACAGGAAACCATTTAACCTATATTTGGCCATGTTGCTCATCTCCAGACACAAAGGTTATCAACGTGGTTATCAATAATACTCAGGCATAATCAACTAAAATGAGAATTTAAATGAGTGAGCACATTTCTGTATGTACATATCAAAGGACAGGAAGTTCACACTACTAAGATAGCCTTCAATTCAAATTAAACGTTGTGATAGAACTAGCAGTATGATCCTGAGACTGGATTTTGTTAGGCCTCAGGTGGCTAACTGGCCTACCTGGACTGTTAAATGGCATTCAAAATATAGAGATCACCTCATCACTATCTCATCAATCACTTACATTCTAACCATTTTCACGGGAGAAAACATTAAATGGCTCCCTGTAATGAATGTTAAGGCTTAGTACATTGTCCGTAATGATTTCTATTATATTAAACACTTATAGAGCTTCCCAATTAATGTGGAAGCTTTAATCATGTAATCTCAATTGTGTTAGTCTTTGGGGCCTTTTTATCTCATTGCATCATTTTCCTGACCTGGCGGTCTACAGTGTTCACTATTATTAGCCAATTAGTCCTTCTAGCTTCTGGCTCATGGAAGACAGATTCACTATATTTCTTAATTCTTGACAGTTTCAATTCCTTAACCTCCAAATTTCCCTTGATAAATGACTCAGTGCCTTACCCTTTCTTCCAGTATTCCAGAGTGGCCCTGTGGCCCTGCAATCTGAACTATGGTTATAATTTCCTCTGACTGTCAGTTTTTTAAGCTAACAATTTGTTACCAATTTATCATAAATGCGCCAACATTTGTTCTTTTAATATTTTAAGATATGATTCATTTATTTTAAAATATGTATCTCTGTGGCTTCCTAAGCACTCATCATCAAAACTTAGTCTGCAACTTACTTTCTAATCATTGTCTGAACCTACTATTTTTATAGATCTTAATTCTATATATATCATATATAAGTGCAGCTCACTGTCAAGGACAGACAAAAAGCATCTATCCTGAGCTCGTCAACATCTCCTCACTGAAAGAATCTGGCTTCTCACTTACTCTTCCCAACTTAATTCTCTTCAGTATTATTAGTTTGCAAAGTATCCCTTCCAACTCAGAAGAGAAGAAGCTGCTCAGGTGGAATTTTAACTACAGCAGTATTGTGGAAATATTCAGTGGCTGCGTATTTGTTATGCTATGTAGAAAATTCCAGCCTGGGAAGCTCCAGTCCAGCCATCCTCACTACCCCACACTTTGTCATGCCAACTTTTCTTCATCTCACTGCTGA